TGAAAAGGTCGTGCCCAAGAATTAGGCAAGCGAAGAATTCCCAAGTATTAAGATCCCAAGAAGTTGCAGTGTCTGACAGGTTTGTAGATGAATGGTTCAGAGAACCGACATGTTGATAAATTAGACACATGTGCAACTCTTGGGTATCTTTATTGAGGAAACGTTTCGCCACACAGTGGCTTCATCAGTCCATACAAAGGAGAATCTTGAAGAACAGGAGGAGAATGAGGTAATCAGTCCCTCAACCTTGAGTCGATGTGGTCAGTCCATCAATCTTGAATAGAATACGGCATACGTGCTGAGAAGGAGCTTATATAAACCGTTGGCAGGAGAGGTGCAGAAGTCATAGGTCGTGTAACATTTGTTCAATGTTGAAGTAGGTCGTGCCCAAGAATTAGGCAAGCGAAGAATTCCCAAGTATTAAGATCCCAAGAAGTTGCAGTGTCTGACAGGTTTGTAGATGAATGGTTCAGAGAACCGACATGTTGATAAATTAGACACATGTGCAACTCTTGGGTATCTTTATTGAGGAAACGTTTCGCCACACAGTGGCTTCATCAGTCCATACAAAGGAGAATCTTGAAGAACAGGAGGAGAATGAGGTAATCAGTCCCTCAACCTTGAGTCGATGTGGTCAGTCCATCAATCTTGAATAGAATACGGCATACGTGCTGAGAAGGAGCTTATAAACCGTTGGCAGGAGAGGTGCAGAAGTCATAGGTCGTGTAACATTTGTTCAATGTTGAAGTAGGTCGTGCCCAAGAATTAGGCAAGCGAAGAATTCCCAAGTATTAAGATCCCAAGAAGTTGCAGTGTCTGACAGGTTTGTAGATTTGAATGGTTCAGAGAACCGACATGTTGATAAATTAGACACATTGTGCAACTCTTGGGTATCTTATTGAGGAAACGTTTCGCCACACAGTGGCTTCATCAGTCCATACAAAGGAGAATCTTGAAGAACAGGAGGAGAATGAGGTAATCAGTCCCTCAACCTTGAGTCGATGTGTTCAGTCCATACTTGAATGAACGCACTGTGAAACTTTACCTTCATAAGTAAGAGTTGACATGTGTCAATTTATAACGTCCGTATTCCTCAGAAACTGAACTCTTGGGATCTTAATACTTGGGAATTCTTCGCTTGCCTAATTCTTGGGCAGACCTACTTCAACATTGAAAAGTTACACACCTATGACTTCTGCACCTCTCCTGCCAACGTTATAAAGCTCCTTTCAGCACGTATGCCGTATTCTATCAAGATTGATGGACTGACCACATCGACTCAAGTGAGGGACTGATTACCTCATTCTACCTCCTTCTTCAAGATTCTCCTTGTATGGACTGATGAAGCCACTGTGTGGCGAAACGTTTCCTCAATAAAGATACCCAAGAGTTTGCACATGTGCTAATTTATCAACATGTCGGTTCTCTGAACCATTCATCTACAAACCTGTCAGACACTGCAACTTCTTGGGATCTTAATACTTGGGAATTCTTCGCTTGCCTAATTCTTGGGCACGACCTACTTCAACATTGAACAAATGTTACACGACCTATGACTTCTGCACCTCTCCTGCCAACGGTTTATAAGCTCCTTCTCAGCACGTATGCCGTATTCTATTCAAGATTGATGGACTGACCACATCGACTCAAGGTTGAGGGACTGATTACCTCATTCTCCTCCTGTTCTTCAAGATTCTCCTTTGTATGGATGATGAAGCCACTGTGTGGCGAAACGTTTCCTCAATAAAGATACCCAAGAGTTGCACATGTGTCTAATTTATCAACATGTCGGTTCTCTGAACCATTCATCTACAAACCTGTCAGACACTGCAACTTCTTGGGATCTTATAATAATACTTGGGAATTCTTCGCTTGCCTAATTCTGGGCACGACCCCTACTTCAACATTGAAAAAATGTTACACGACCTATGACTTCTTGCAACCTCTCCTGCCAACGGTTTTTATAAGCTTCCTTCTCAAGCACATATAGCGTATTCTATTCAAGATTGATGGATGACACATCGGCTCAAGGATTTTGAGGGACTGAGTACCTCATTCTCCTCCTGTTCTTCAAGATTCTCCTTTGTATGGACGGATGAAGCCACTGTTGTGGCGAAAAACGTTGCCTAAGTAAAGATCCCAAGAGTTGCAATGTGTCTAATTTATCTGGTTACCCATTTTACTGATAAGTCGAACAGGGAAAACAGGTGTAAGGAAACTCGCCCCTATGTTCCTCATCCTTGCCAGGAATCGAACACGGGAACCTCAGGCGTGTGAAAGCGAAACTTTGCTCAGGCCATTACGATGTGATGCATGGTTAGTAAC